GAACTCGGCCCTGAAAGGCCCCAAACGGCCGCCCACGGCACGCGGGGCGCGAATTCTGTAGATCGCAGCCTGTTTCGGCTTCCCAGAGTGCGCCCCACGTGACCTCCAGGAACGGGAATGAAGAAGACCGTTGCGAGCCTGCAGGAGGAGGAGGAGGAGGTGGTGGATCAATGTAAAGCCAAGACTCACCAACGATCTTGGAATACCCCCCCAAGCTCCCTCTTCACAGGCCCCCCCAAGGGTTCATTTCCACTGAAGGCAGCGCCCCGTTGCAGCGTACCAAAGCAGCATTCTCGGAATTCCAGCGCCACGAGTGAATTTGATTTTTGCGTCGTGACGGTCATGAATGCTGCCATGGGACTTCAACACCGCGAATCAGCGCATTGGTGCGCCCAGGCAAACATGAGTCCTTCCAAAACACCGTTTCTGCTACGCTAGCCATAATCCGTGAAACCCTTGCAAATGTTCAAGACGAATGTGCGCGGTGCTTAGGCGCGAGCCACATTAAGGAGCTGCCTTCAATCCGTGAAGCTCTTACATTTTTTTAGAGACGAGCGTGCGCGGCGGTATTACGAGAGCCACATTTTGAAACCGACCCGCCCTCAGTCCGTGAAGCTCCTGCCATTGTTTTTAGACGAGTGTGCGCGGAGCTACGGCGAGAGCCACATTTTGAAAACCACCCGCCCTCAATCCTTGAAGCTCTTACAAATATTTACGACGACTGTGCGCGGCGGTAATGCGAGAGCTGCATTTTGGAAAGGAGCCGCCCTCCATCCGTGAGGCCATTGCAAATATGTAAGACGAATGCTCGCGGTGCTGAGGCGAGAGCCACATTTTGAAAACGTCCCACATTCCATCCGTGAGGGTCCTTGCAAATTTGTCAGACGAGTGTGCGCAACAAGAAGGCGAGAGCCACATTTTGAAAAGGACCCGCCCTCCGTATGTGAAATGGTTGTCGATGTATAGGCTTCAGGGTCACAAGTGGTGAGGAGGTCTCGGGCGAAACGCCCGGCCCGCCCTGTCGCGGGATGCGACAGGGAGGAGTTATCTGTCCGAGACATGAACGGAGGAGGAGGAAGAGGAGGAGCAGGAGGAGGAGGAGGAGGAGGATGAGGAGGAGGAGGAGGCGGAGGAGGAGGAGGAAGAGGAGGAGCAGGAGGAGGAGGAGGAGGATGAGGAGGAGGAGGAGGCGGAGGAGGAGGCGTCGTCGTCGTCGTCGTCGTCGTTGTCGTCGTCGTCCCCGGGGTTCCGGGCCAGTGGCCCGTGACACTCGGGCTGAGCAGCGGTTCCGTGGGACCAAGTTCTGCGCCATCCGAGTTTCCACCTCGGCCCAGTGCCAGATGCAGCTGACCGCCAGCCGACACTGATGCTCGTCAGCCAGGCAGGCAGGAGTTGCCGACGGAGACCGTCGCCGTGGCTGCCGTCGCTTCGCCGCCATCGCCATCGCCACCGCCCTGGTGATCGTCGTTGTCGCGATCGTCGTCGCCGTCGCCGTCGTTGTCGTGTTCGTTGGTCGTCGTCGTCGCCGTCGTCATCACCGTCGTCGTCTTCGTCGCCGCCGCCGCCGCCGCCGCCGCCACTGCCGCTGCCGCCGCCGCCGTGTCCGTCGCCGTCGTCGTCCTCGGGATCGTCGTCGAATATTCGTTTCCAGACGGAACTGCTGAGCTCTGGAGAGTGGTTCGGACTGTCTCGCCCCGACGCCAGCTGCATTTTCTTGGAGAGCTATGCTCCCGCTCGAGCGCGGGCGACATCAGCTCCCGTTCGTTGGCCCAGGGATCATGGCAACGGCTCCCGCTCGATACTTTCTCACAGTTTTCTCCGAGACGTCCTGGCCAGAGACCCCGAAGCACAGGAACAGCGCTCTCGCTCGAGACTTCCACGCAGTTGAATCAAGTGGTAGCGACCCAGCTGCGACGACAATGCCCCCCGTTCGATACTTCCTCACACTCTACTCGGAGACGCTCTGGCCAGAGAGGCCCCGAAACTCCAGAACGGCTCTCTCGCTGGGCCCTTCTTCGCAAATCCGTCAAATTGGTATGGGGCCAGCGACGACGACCACAGCCCCCGTTCGATACTTATACTTTCAGTTTACTTGGAGACGCCCTGGCCAGAGAGGCCCCGAAACTCGGGAAGAACGGCGCTCTCGCCCGATGCTTCTTCGCACTTCAGTCAAGTTGGTCACGGCCCAGCTGCGACGACAGCGGCCCCCACTCGATGCTTCATTCCTTGTTACGCCGAGACGCCCTGGCTGAAGCGCCTCCGAAGCCGAGGTGCAGTGATCTCACGCGAGGCGTTCTCGCAACTCAGTCAAGTCGGCGAGAGTTGCTCGCGGGCGTGTTAGCTCACATGACGGCCATGGCGGCGCGGCGCGCATGCAGAGTGCGCTGCTGAATGCTTCTCCAGGGTCCGTATGAAAAGACGCCCCCCCCCCCCCCCCACAAGGGGGTTGGCTCATAGACTTCTCGGGCGGGTGCATGGGGAGAGGGTCAAACAAGTGAAAGTCAAAACTGCTTGTGGGATCACATGTTCACAAGATGGTCGTCCTCGTCGTCCTCGTCGCCGCTGCCGCCAGCCGTCGTCGGCGGCGCGGCACCGGGGCGCGCGCGCGCGCGCTCCGCTCCAGAGGCGCGCGCTGCTCGACCCGCCGCGCTTCCGGGCCGGGCGCGACGACGCCCCAGGCCTGCTCGCCAGCCGGCGCCCCGGTGGCCCATCGACGTCGCCAACTCCGTCGGTGTCGGTGCTCGTGGGCGGGGAGCCCGGACATGATTCTGCACGAACGAGATGGGCACGGAAAGAATGGGTACAATGCCCAACAGCAGTTCCTGTTCATTTTGAACAGGACTCGCTGTCCGCGCCGCCGCGGCCTGTGTCCATTCGAGACAGAGGGCCGCCTGCCCAACAGCGGCCGCTGTTGGCTTGGGACAACATTTGTTGTTGGGCATAGTACCCATTCTTTCCGTGCCCATTTCGGGCGTCCAAAAACTCCGTCGGTGTCGGTGCTCGTGGGCGGGGAGCCAGGACATGATCGCGTCGTGGCAAAAATCTCGAGGGGAGGTCTTTGCCGTTTTCCGGCTTCGGCAGGCCCTCGCCGGGCTCCGTCCTGGTCAAAAGCGACTCGGGAGGAAATCCCGGCCCTGGGAAAAGGGTCGGGACTGCCGTGGACCTCGTATTGAAACACTCGAGTCGTCGGACGTCTGGGAACATGTCTCGGGGGCGTCCAAGAGGGGGGGCTGCGGACCAGGGGTGTGGTTATCATGGCAGGGGCCGTGACATCTCCCCGATGTCATGCCCCCCCCCTGCGTCTCCTGGCCTCCCCAGCTCCACCTGGTGGAGCGGCCTCCAAGAGCGAAGCGAGCAGGTGGCGCATATGCCACGGTAGTGGCGGCGCCCGCTCTCTCAGGCGAAAAGCGAAGGGGGGCGGCCGCACGTGCCCCTCACGCTCTCCGGCTTCGTGGCACCTGCGCGCAAGCGCACAGTGGCCCACAGACAGCGGGACCCCCGCCGAAACCCTGCAAACGCACACTGTCTCGCGGGGTTTGGCTCAAGTAAACGTTGGGCTCAGACCGAACATCTCGACATCTGCATATTTTCGGCAGCCTCCAGCCTACGTCATGTCGGGGATTACCGAGATGAAGGCAGAAGGAGAAGGCCGGGAGCTTAAGGCCGGGAGCAGCAATCCAGCTGCCCCGGACAAGAAGATCGCGAAGAAGTCGAACGGTGACGACGACACGTTATAATGCTCACCCTCTGTTCTGAGGGGGAGGGGGAGGGTGGGGTTCGCAGGTGGCCCCCTACTTCGCAGACAGGGTGCTTCGGCACGAACCTGGCCCTCGGAGGACGGACCTCTCCGTCCGTGCCGGCAGCCTGGGCCCCTCGTTGGGCCTGGGCGCCAGCCCGGGTCCCAGACGTCTTCCGATCTGCTTGTCGCTCTGGGGCCTCAGAGCTCCCGACCCCTTCTCGGGGGCGGAAAAGAGGGGGGTGATGACTAGGGGGGGGTGGATATCATGGCGTGGGCCATGATATTGCCCCAGATTTCATGGCGACTCTTCTTATTTCATTACGTCCCTGGCCCCCCCGCTGGGCCGCGCACATGCCGCCGGTCATGATTTGCACCCTCCCCTCTTGGACACCCCCCTCTTGGCCGCTCCCGACCCCTGCCCCCGGGGGGGGAGCTTTTCGACCCGGGTCTGTCCAGGGCCCGGGGGCCCCGAACACGGGCCCCCAGAGGCCTGAGTCGAGTAACATCGGCTCGCCGAGAGCTTGGCATCGGAGCCGAAGTCGCCTCTGCGGCTCTCCAGGGCCCGGCCCTGCGGCCTGGTAGCCACCGGCACGACTGCGCGGCATGATGAACGCCTGGACAGAACCCCCAACAGTGACACGTCGATTAGTGAATTGTCCTTTTTCGGTTCCCGAGAGAGCGCCGCGGCCGTTATTTTCCAGGCTCGCGCCCGCCAGGTTTGGGCCTCAGGTCGTTTTCACTAAACCACGTTTTACTAAAGGGAGGCCTGTCCATCCCCGATGGTAGCCAACGGCACAACTGCGCGGCATGATGAACGCCTGGACAGAAAAACGTCTTGCCGGAGATCTCGGGTTGTGAACCCAGCGTCGATCGCCTGCTGGAGGCCTGGGGTTCGCATGACTCCTGCCCGGAGCCTGTGCCGCCACGCTGGCGTGGTGGGCTGCATGCTCTGAGCGCCTCGCCCGACCGCAGTCCCCTCGTCGCGGCTGTCCTCGCCTGTCCACCGGCTTCCCCTGGTGCTGATTCACCGTTCCGCGCCCGACCTGGGCCCTCCCGCGCGGAGCGATCGCAGGCGCCGCGACCAAAGCAGCCGGAGGCCTGGTGATCGTTCTCTTATGCACTGTTTCGCCGATCGGCGCGGGCCCTCGCACCCCTCCCCCATGGAGTAGATCTTGGCTGTCTTTGGCGCCTTTTTCGAGCTGGTGGAATTTTCCCCACGCGTATGACGCACTGTTGCAAACAGTCGCTTTGAGCAGAGGTCGGGAGCCAGTCCCCCCCCCCTCCCCCCCTTCCGCCCAATGTTGAAACGCCGAAAAAGGCATCGTTCGCGTGCGACCGAGGTCTTCGTGGGAACTTCGGCGTGTCCACGAACTGGGCGTCGCTGCAGACCGATCTGGAGCTGCCGGGCTGCCGGCAGGCGCTGCCTTTCGCCAGCCTCGGCCGGCTCGGCCAGCGCGCCCCCGGGAGAAGCACGCCCGCAGGGTTCGCGGCGTCGCTGCCTGGAGATCCGAGGGATGGATGCCGGACATCCGGCCCCGAGATCCTCGCGTCGCAATTCAGTTTTGTCAAATCGGGCGTTTTCTCCTAGTACCGGGCTCCGGGGCCCTCACAGATCGACCCGGCTCGCAAAATGCAGCAGAAAGACGGGTTTCGGGGCTCTCGTCGTATTTGTTCCGACGTTGTATTGTGAAGGTCTTCAGGTCAGTGCCGCCGAACCTGAAGGGGGGACGACGACGACGACGACGACGACGACGACGACGACGACGACGACGACGACGACGACGACGACTACGACGACGACGACGACGACGACGACGACGACGACGACGACGACGACGACGACGACGACGACGACGGACGACGACGACGACGACGACGACGACGACGACGACGACGACGACGACGACGACGACGACGACGACGACGACGACGACGACGACGACGACGACGACGACGACGACGACGACGACGACGACGACGACGACGACGACGACGACGACGACGACGACGACGACGACGACGACGACGACGACGACGACGACGACGACGACGACGACGACGACGACGACGACGACGACGACGACGATTCGAAGGCGGTTTCCATGGTGGCGGCCTGCGGGTGCGGGATGCCCCGTTGCTTTTTCTCGTATCCGCCCGACGACGACGACGGAAAACATTCAAAAACTTAAAAGGGAAGTCATTGAATTTAACTTCTTGGGATTTTCCTTGTGAGTGTTCTTGAGGCCCTCTTGGGTCTTTCTGGGGCCTCTTTTGGGCTTCTTGGGCGCCTCCTGGAGGCCTCCTGTTGGCCTCTTGGGGCGGAAGGCTCGAACTGTCGGTTGGAGTCCCCCCTCTCGGGGGCCTTTGGGGCCCTCTTGGGGCGCTATTCGGTCGTTTTGGGGGCCTCTTGGTCGGGTCTGGCCCAAAACCGACCAAGACTCTTGGGCCCGTCTTGGGCCGTCTTGGGGCGGTCTTGGGCCGTTTTCGGTTGCTTTCGGCAGCGCCTTGAACTGTCTTGGGGCGATTGTGGTGCTTCTTGGGCCGTTTTGAAGCGTCGGAGCCCGAAAAGGCGAGGACGCGAAAAACATGGAATATTTTCCCGGCGAAGGACCCAACCATTTGCAGTTGTGAGTACCGTCGTTGTGGGTATCGCCTTCGGGGGATCTCCTCATGGGGCCATGAAGCATGCGAAGGGTGTCCCGATGTGGGGCGGGGCCGCCATGTGGGCGCTGCCGCTCGTGCTTTAGGCGGAACGCACTATGGGGCCGCGAAAAGCGTAAGGCGTGCGCCGCAGTGGGGCGGGGCCGCCACTGGGGCCTTCGGTGGAGCTTCCTATGTGGCAACGGAACATTGTAATGGGTGGGGGGAACGCATGCGAGTACAGCCACCGGAGCCTTCGGTGCAGCTCCCCATGCGGCCAAGAAGCGCTGTGCTGGGTAAGGGGGACGCATGCGAGGCCACGCGGCGTTGCATTGGGCGGGGGAACCGCATGCGAGTGCATCCACTGGGGCCTTCGGTGAAGCTCCCTATGGGGCCACGAAACGGTGTACTGGGTGGGGGTGACGCATGCGGGCGGTGCCATTGGGGCTTTCGGTGGAGTTCCCTAGGGGGCCACGAAGCGCTGTACTGGGTGGGGGTGACGCATGCGGGCGGTGCCACTGGGGCCTTCGGTGGAGCTCCCTATGGGGCCACGAAGCGCTGTACTGGGTGGGGGGTGGCGCATGCGGGCGGTGTCACTGGGGCCTTCGGTGGAGCTCCCTAGGGGGCCACGAAGCGTCGTACTGGATGGGGGTGACGCATGCGGGCGTTGCCCCTTCGGTGGAGCTCCCTATAGGCCACGAAGCTTTGTACTGGGTGGGGGGTGACGCATGCGGGCGGTGCCACTGGGGCCTTCGGTGGAGCTCCCTATGGTGCCACAAATGTGACACATGCGGGTGGTGTCACTGAGGCCTTCGATGGGGCTCCCTATTGGGCCACGAAGCGCTGTACCGGGTGGGGGGTGACGCATGCGGGCGGTGCCACTGGTGCCTCCGGTGGGGCTCCCTATGGGGCCACGAAGCGCTGTACTGGGTGGGTGTGACGCATGCGGGCGTTGCCCCACTTGGGCCTTCGGTGGAGCTCCCTATGGGGCCACGAAGCGCTGTACTGGGTGGGTGTGATGCATGCGGGCGGTGCCACTGGGGCCTTCGGTGGAGCTCCCTATGGGGCCACGAAGCGATGTCCTGGGTGGGGTGTGACGCACGCGGGCGGTGCCACTGGGGCCTTCGGAGGAGCTCCCTATGGGACCACGAAGCGCTGTACTGGGTTGGTGTGACGCATGCGGGCGTTGCCCCACTTGGGCCTTCGGTGGAGCTCCCTATGGGGCCACGAAACGCTGTTCCGGGTGGTGGCTGACGCATACGGGCGGTGCCACTTGGGCCTTCGGTGGAGCTCCCTATGGGGTCACGAGGCGATGTCCTGGGTGAGAGGTGACGCACGCGGGCGGTGCCACTGGGGCCTTCGGAGGAGCTCCCTATCGGTCCACGAAGCGCTGTACTGGGTGGGTGTGACGCATGCGGGCGTTGCCCCACTTGGGCCTTCGGTGGAGCTCCCTATGGGGCCACGAAGCGCTGTACTGGGTGGGTGTGATGCATGCGGGCGGTGCTACTGGGGCCTTCGGTGGAGCTCCCCATGGAGCCACGAATCGCTGTATTGCGTGGGGGTGACGCATGCGGGCGGGCGGTGCCACTGTGGGCCATCGGCGGAGCTCCCTATGGGGCCACGAAACGTTGTACTGGGTGGGGGGTCACGCACGCGGGCTGTGCCACTGGGGCCTTTGGTAGAGCTCTCTATGGGGCCACGAAGCGCTGTACTGGGTGGGGTTGGCGCATGCGGGCGGTGCCACTGGGCCTTCGGTAGAGCTCCTTATGGGGCCACGAAGTGTTGTACTGGGTGGGGGGTGGCGCATGCGGGCGGTGTCACTGGGGCCTTCGGTGGAGCTCCCTACGGGGCCACGAAGCGTTGTACTGGATGGGGGTGACGCACGCGGGCGTTGCCCCACTGGTGCCTCCGGTGGGGCTCCCTATGGGGCCACGAAGCGCTGTACTGGGTGGGTGTGACGCATGCGGGCGTTGCCCCACTTGGGCCTTCGGTGGAGCTCCCTATGGGGCCACGAAGCGCTGTACTGGGTGGGTGTGATGCATGCGGGCGGTGCCACTGGGGCCTTCGGTGGAGCTCCCTATGCGGCCACGAAGTGTGTGAGGGTCGTGCTGAAACAGGTGATGGCGATGATGATGGAGGAGGGAGGAGGAGGGGGATGAGGAAGGAAGGAAGGAAGGAAGGAAGGAAGGAAGGAGGAACGCGGGGACCCTGTCTTCAAAACGAGGACCCAACACCACAGGATGGTTGGGAACTACATGAACATCGCCGATTATCGCCTCTTGGGGCCTCTTTGGGCTCCGCTTGGGGCCCTCTTGTGGCGTCTTGGGGGCCCGAGTCCGTCTTGAGGGTATCTTGGACCGTTCTGGAGTGATCTTGGGCTGTTTCAGGGCCCTCCTGGAGCAAACCGCAGTAGAAGTGAGCCTGACGCGTCTGGGAGGCAAGGAATCGAAGGGGAAAGCTTCTCCCAGGGAGGGATGCCCCCCCCCCGCGGGGGGCGGTGTCACAACCCCAGGGACCCCCCCCCTCCCTGGCGGGGGAGGGATCAAAGGGAATGGGCTTCGGCTCGATTATGGTGTTTATCGATTTCCTTTTGTCTGGAACGTTTGAGGAGGAGGGCAGGGACAAGGGGGGAGCGGCGACGGCGGCGACGACGACGACGAAGACGACGACGACGACGACGACGACGACGACTCAAACGGACACGCGTGAAGGGAGGGGAGCGGTGACGACGACGACGACGACGACTCAAACCGGAAGCCTTTCACACACGCCGACAGGGTCGGCGGATTTTGTTCGCGTCGTCGGATCTCGGGGAACGTAATTAGAAAATAGAGACAGGCTTTTCGTGGTTTGTCCTCCGGGGGCCCTCGCCAGGCTCCGGGACCGTCAAGATGCAGAGCCGGCCCCAGGCAAAAGGTCAGGACTTCGGGGACCCCGTATTGAAGATCTCAAAGCATTGGATTCGACGTCGTCAAACTATGTGTGCGTCTCCCCCTAGGGGCGACGCGCGCACCGAGAAATCTTATAGTGTATGCGTCGTGGCGGACGCTTTTCGGCTACACCGCTCGGGAAACGATATACTACAGGATGGGTGTACTATGTGCCCGGGTCGAGCGCACGCCTCCATAGTACTAGTATGTCCTTGTGCGTCCCATGGATGTCTGCGATCGTTTCGGCCGTCGCGTTATTCTTGAAGCTCGGTGTTCCTCCTCGGCTTCGGCCCTCGGGCCCGGGAGCCATCGGCCGAAGAGACACGCTGGCATAATAAGGACAGCTACCTGAAGGTCCAGCGGATGTCTTGGGTCGGCGTTCGAGCCCTCCTGGCGGCGCCTCTGGTACCGCCCTTGGCGCGCTCCGCGCGCCGGGGCAGGGGGGTCCAGCGCCGACTCAAGAAATCCGCGCGGACAGCCGAAAGTTTGTTCTCATGCCGTTCGTGTTCGAGTATTCGAGGATTGCGCAGCGTGCCTGCAGTCTCGTGGCCGAGCTTCCTGGACTCTGGCGTCGGATCCGGATCAGGTAGCAGCCTGTGAGGGTTCTCCTCCTCCCCTCTTCAACTCAGCTCCGACGACGGCGGCGGCGACGAAGATGACGACGACGATGAGGACGACTATGACGACGACGACGACGACGACGACGACGACGACGACGACGACGACGACGACGACGACGACGACGACGACGACGACGACGACGACGACGACGACGAGGACGACGAGGACGACGACGAAGACGACGACGAGGACGAAGACGACGAAGAGGACGACGACAACGACTCGAAGGCGGCTTCCCTGGTGGCGGCCTGCGGGTGCGGCCTGCCTCGTTGCTTTTTCTCTTATTCGCGCGACGCTCGTCCTGGCCGCGCGGTCGCTCTTCCTGGTGCGCTCCAAAAGAGGCCCCGCTTTCGATGTCCGAAGGAGCTTTGGAGCAGTCCTAGGTTTGAGGTGGCCCAGATCTGGTTTCTGCCAGCAGGCAGGGCGGGCAGGTTCGAGGCTCTGGGTTCGGAAATGCTTTTTGCCTTTTTCAGCCTCTTGGGGCCATCTTCTGGCGCCAGGACAATAAACCATCCTGGCGAAGGACCCAGCCATAGGCAGTTGTGAGTAACGCGTCGTGCGTGCCGCTTTCGGTGGAGCGGCCACGAAACGCGTGAGGGACGTGCCGTAATGGGTGTGGGAGACGCATGCGGGCGGTGCCACTGGGGCCTTCGGTGGGGCTCCCTATGGGCCACGAGACGCTGTACTGGGCGTGGCGGACGCATGCGTTCGGTGCCCTTCGCTGGAGCTCCCGATGAGGCCACGAAACGTTGTACTGGCTGGGGGAGACGCACGCTGGAGGTGCCACTGGGGTCTTTCTGCGGAGCTCCTCCCCACGGCGCCATGAAACGCTTTATTGGGTAGTGGCCGACGCATGCGGGCGGTGCCAGTGGGGGCTTCGGTGGGGCCCCCTATGGGGCCACGATGCGCTGTGCTGGGAGGGGGGGGCGCATGCGGGCGGTGCCACTGTGGCCTTCGGTGGAGCTCCCCAGGGCCCACGAAGCGCTGCACTGGGTGGGGGGTCGCATGCGGGCGGACCAATGGAGCTCCCTACGGGGCCACGAAGCGCTGTACCGGGTGGGGGGGGCGCATGCGGGCGGTGCCACTGGGGCTTGGTGGAGCTCCTAATCAATGGTGCCGCGAAGTGGAGTACTGGGTGTTTCACGACGCATGTGGGCGGTGCCACTGGCCTGTGGGGTCTTTCTGTGGGGCTGCTCACAATGGGGCCACGAAGTACTGGATGGTGGCTAACGCATTCGGGCGGTCCCACTGCGACCATCGGTGGGGTTCCTTATGAGGCCACGAAGCGCTGTCCTGGGTGGTGGCTGGCGCATGCGGGCGGCCCCACTGGGACCTTCGGTGGAGCTCCCTATGGGACCCCGAAACGCTGTACTGGGTGGTGGCTGACGCATGCGGGCGGTGCCACTGGGGCCTTTGATGGGGCCCCCCATGTAGCCACGAAGCGCTGTGCTGGGTGGTGGCTGACGCATGCGGGCGGTGCCACTGGGGCCTTCTGTGGCGCTCCCTATGGGGCCACGAAATGTTTGAGGGTCGTGCTGAAACAGGTGAATCGCAGGGAGGAAGGGCTGTGCTGGGTGGCGGTTGACGCATGCGGGCGGTCCCACTGGGACCTTCGGTGGAGCTCCCTATGGGGCCACGAAGCGCTGTACTGGGTGGGTGAAAGGCAGGGAGGAAGGGCTGTGCTGGGTGGTTGACGCATGCGGGCGGTCCCACTGGGACCTTCGGTGAAGCTCCCTATGGGGCCACGAAACGCTGTACTGGGTGGGTGAAATGCAGGGAAGAAGGGCTGTGCTGGGTGGTGATGGACGCATGCGGGCGGTCCCACCGGGACCCTTCGGTGGAGTTCCCTATGAGGCCACGAGGCGCTGTACTGGGTGGGTGAGTCGCAGGGGGGAAGGGCAGTGCTGGGTGGCGGTTGACGCATGCGGGCGGTCCCATTGGGACCTTCGGTGGAGCTCCGTGTGGGGCCACGAAGCGCTGTACAGTGTGGGTGAAATGCAGGGAGGAAGGGCTGTGCTGGGTGGTTGTTGACGCATGCGGGCGGTCCCGCTGGGGCCGTCTGTTGAGCTCCCTATGGGGCTACAAAGCGCTGTATTGGGTGGATGAGTCGCAGGGAGGAAGGGCTGTGCTCGGTGGCGGTTGACGCATGCGGGCGGTCCCGTTGGGACACTCGGTGGAGCTCCCTATGGGGCCACGAAGCGCTGTACTGGGTGGGTGGAACGCAAGGAAAAAGGGCTGTGCTGGGTTGTGGTTGACGCGTGCGGGCGAGCTGGCGGAAGCATGAGATGCGCCGCCCACAGGTGGCAGGGTTTTTGGCGTCAGGGTGTCTGGAATCTGCCTCCTCCTCCTCCTCCTCCTCTTCCTCCTCCTCTTCCTCCTCCGCCGCCTCCTCCTCCTCCTCCTCCTCCCGCCTCTCCCCTCCCCCCTTCCCCCTCCCCCCTCCTCCCTCCTCCCTCCTCCTTCCTCCCCCCGCGGGAAGGTCCTTCACCTGCCTGTCATCAGCGACGTGCACACCGACGGGGTGATGATCGTGTTCCGCGCTGCTCCCGGCCAGCTGGCGATCGCGCTCGGTGTCCGCCCCGCCCTCCGCCGCGCTCTCCCGTCGGGTGTTCGACCACCTGCTGCCATGTATTTTTCCCAGCCCTCTCTTGGTTGGGTACTCGTTTTGAATCGAGCACTGCCTGCCCCCTCCTCCTCCTCCTCCTCCTCCCCCTCCTCACGCCTCGTCCCTTCTCCCTCTCCCTCCTCTCCCTCTCTCCTCCCGCTTGTGTCCTGCCTCGTGCCCGCGGCTCGCTCGGGTTTCGTCACTTGCGCAGCGGAGGTGCCGTGGGCTCCTGGGAGGGCCAGCGGAGGTGCGTCTTACGCAGATCACCACGAGACCTCGCCATCCCCAGTGGGGCTGTTATCTGTGAAATTGTCGCCACTTTCGTGCGCTCCTGGGAGGCCCAGCGGAGGTGCGTCTACGCAGATCACCATGAGACCTCGCCGTCCCCTTGGGGGGCTGCGATCTGCGAAACTGTCGCCACTTTTGTGGGCGCCTGGGAGACTCAGCGGAGGTGCTTCTTACTAAGATCACCATGGGACCTCGCCGTCCCATGATGGGCTGCGATCTGCGAAATTGTCGCCACTTTCGTGGGGGTCCTGGGAGGCCCAGCGGAGGTGCGTCTTACGCAGGTCACCACGAGACCTCGCTGTCTCCTGGAAGGCTGCGATCTGCGAAATTGTTGCCACTTTCGTGGGCTGCTGGGAGGCCCAGCGGAGGTGCGTCTTACGCAGATCACCATGAGACCTTTCCGTCCCGTGGGGGCTGGGAGGCCCAGCGGAGGTGCGTCTTACGCAAATCACTACGAGACCTCGCCGTCCCCTGGGGGGCTGCGACCTGCGAAACTTCCGCCACCTTCGTGTGCTCCTCGGAGGCCCAGCGGAGGTGCGTCTTACGCAGATCGCCGCGAGACCTCGCCGTCCCCAGGGGGGCTGCGACCTGCGAAATTGGCGCCACCTTCGTGGGCTCCTGGGAGGCCCAGCGGAGGTGCGTCTTACCAAGATCATTAGGAAACACTCGCCGTCCCCTGGGGGGCCGCGATCAGCGAAACTGTTGCCGTCCTGGGAGGCCCAGCGGAGGTGCGTCTTACGCAGGTCACCACGAGACCTCGCCGTCCCCTTGGGGGGCTGCGACCTGTGAAACTGTCGCCACTTTCGTGTGGCTCCTGGGAGGCCCAGCGGAGGTGCGTCTTACGCAGATCGCCACGAGACCTCGCCGTCCTCTGGGGGGCGGCGATCTGCGAAATTGTCGCCACTTTCGTGGGCTTCTGGGAGGGCCAGCGGAGGTGCGTCTTACGCAGATCACCACGAGACCTCGCCGTCCCCAGTGGGGCTGTTATCAGTGAAATTGTCGCCACTTTCGTGGGCTCCTGGGAGGCCCAGCGGAGGTGCGTCTTACGCAGATCACCATGAGACCTCGCCGTCCCCTGGGGTGTTGCGATCTGCGAAACTCTCGCCTATTTCGTGGGCTCCTGGGAGGCCCAGCGGAGGTGCGTCTTAGGCAGATCACCATGAGACCTCGCCACCATGAGACCTCGCCGTCCTCTGGGGGGCTGGGCTGCGACGTTGGGGGATCCAGCGGCGCTGCTTACGCATATCCAATCGAGACCGCAGGGCGACTCAGGGGAGGAGGAGGGGAAGGAGGACGACCACGGGGGGCCACTCGGGGGAGGAGGGCCAGGCCACCCAGGGAGGAGGAGGGGAAGGAGCAGGGCCAGTCCCGGGATGCGGGCGAGGGGACGTAGAATCGTAGGACCTCCTTGGGGTGGGGTGGGGGCCCATCGGCTATCTGACCTATCTTTGCGCGGCCGTTCCCGGTAATGGGAGGAGGAGGAGGAGGAGGAGGAGGAGGAGGAGGAGGAGGAGGAGGAGGAGGAGGAGGAGGAGGAGGAGGAGGAGGAGGAGAAAGGAAAGGAGGAGAGAGGAAGGAGGAGAAGATGAGGATGATGATGATGATGATGAGATGATGATGATGATGATGATGATGATGATGATGATGATGATGATGATGATGATGATGATGATGATGATGATGATGATGATGATGAGGAGGAGGAGGAGGAGGAGGAGAGGAGGAGAGGAGGAGGAGGAGGAGGAGGAGGAGGGAGGAGGAGGAGGAGGAGGAGTGGGGGAGGTGACGGAGGCGGCGGAGGAACACGACCAGGGAGGGAGGAGGACAACGAAGAGTCCACAAATGGTCAGGCTCAAGACTCCCTTGGCCGTCGCCCTCCGCTCGCGCCGCGCCCTGCTTGCGCGGCGTTCCTCTTGGGCGGCCGTGCCCGCGCGCTCCGGCACCAGTGCCCGCGCCAAGGCCTTGCTCCGCCGCGGCCTATCGGCATGCCCGCGCCGCCCGGAAAGCCGGGGCTCGCCATTCCAGCTTGCCCAGCTCTTCGAAGGGTGGTTCTTCCTGGCCGAGCACGCCGACTGCCGTCCGGTAGTGCCTCGACCTGGTTGGGAATGCCGCTAACAAGACGCCTTGCTGAGCCCCCCGCGCGCGAGCAGTTTGTGAAGCGGTACAGGGGCTCTGCC